GATTAAGAAGAAAAAGTCATTCACCACTCAGCATACTTGGAAAGTCTCTTGAGCACAGGACAGACACCTCCAGAAATCTCCATCGGAGATGTTATTTATAAGTGGACCAAACAGCTTATTAGGCTAATTGCTCCTGGAGGGATTTAACTCTATTGAGAAAGCTTGAACAGGGCTCAGCTGTTCCAGAGCATTAGCTGCCACTCCTCCTTTTGATTTACATCCCTCATAAAATTTTATGGCCAGATTAGAATGAACTTCATTTGCACTGTGTTTTTAGTAAAGTTTTTTTTATGCTGAATAAAAGCAAAAAAAATCAATGCTGTAACTAATTATAGCCTCAACCAGGAAAGGAAAATACCTCAAAATAGAGGGGAATAACCTCAAAAGCCCCCCAGAACAGATCCTTTTGGAGGCCCTGCTTCAGACACCTGAGCTCCAACTATAAGTATGTTGAGAGAGCAGCAACAGTTAAAAATGTCACAGTTTAAGGAAGAGCAATTTTGAATGGGGAAAGACTGATGTGGCTTTTTATGGTAACAAAGAGGGAGTGTGAAGCAGTCCCGATAAATGGGAGAAGACAGTGGGTGCTTATCAGTCATTTTGTCTGGAATATCTTTGAGTCATTTGGCTGCTGAGCTTGTTCATACAGAGGGAAAAGTCTACTTTTGAAATAATTGGCTGCTTGCAGAGATAATTAGTCTATATAGTGCTTTTTCTTCTGTTGTTGATAAATTACGGAACTCCCTGGGCTACACTTTGCTTCACGAACTGTAAAGCTAGGACATAAATCCAAACAGAAAAAAAAGACCTTTTTTTCTTCCTTTCTTTCTGCCAATGAAATACAGTGTCACTGAAAATGGCCTTTATATCTATACTATGAATCCATGAAAGATTGAAGAAAGGAAGGAGAATAAATAAGCCTAGTAAAATATTTACCATTCTAGACATCGGTAGCCAAGGCCAGATTGATGGGAAATGCTTAGTTTGGGGCTGACAGCCTTTAAATGACCTCTTTACAAGTGCCTGAGTATTGAAATTCAACATGCAAGCGAGTTCCACTGGGACGTGTGAGTATTTTGTGCAAGTATTTTGCCATGTCAGGCACTGGCCCATTGACAGCAGCAGGGATTACAGGGGGTCAGTTCCTCCCCGATGTGCAAAATGCAGATGTTGGAAAGCAGCTCATCCCGATGAAACTCCAGCTGACTCCCTTCATGCCGGACAAGAGATGATCATATGCTACATTTCACTTCTGGCCAGGACTTACTTCCATTTACTGGCTTTTTTTTGCACAAAATTAATGCTTTTGGGCTGCAGAAGCACTTCCAAAGACGGATTTTTCCACCGAGAAAGGAGCCGCAAGAGAAGGACCACTTCATATGGTCAAAGCATGGGGCTTGGTAGATTTATTTTAAATTAAATAAGTTATTCCATGTGTTCTGGACACAAGCTCACTATAAACTAATTTAAAATCCAGGGAGAAAACCCCTGACAGTCAATTTTTCAGTCCTTCATGCTGAAATACTGTACCAGTAGTTCATCACCTGGCAAATAAACCTGCCAGCTCAAAACTTTATATTAATCATTTTCTGTACCCTGCTTGAACTTTTCAAATCTGAACTCAGGAGTGCTCTAATTCTCTATCCGCTGGTACCAAAAGAAACAAGTAAAGAGGACAAAAAGAGAGCGATGAGGAGCCATCGTCTTCTGTCTTCTCCATTGCAGGAACATGAACTTCAGACTACGATTTAGAGGAGGTATCTGCCATTTGCTCCACAGCATCTCCAGCTGTAGCCCAGTTTCTGAGTCAGAAATAGCCAGACCTTCCTTGATGGGATGGATTTTTAATTTCTGGCCTGGACAAGGACTTTTTAATAGTAATTTCTCGAACTATTATTCCACAGTAATAATTAACATTTTTTCTCATTATCTACGTTGATACCTACAAAGACCTTGCTTGATTATGTGCCTATATTACTTCTTCTAAATGTTAATGTTTTAGTCTTCAAGAAACAAGAAAATGAAAGAGACAACAAAAACTCCACAGAAAAAAGGAACAGATGTTCCTGAGATCATAGCAAAACAAGCCACAAACTTAGTAGGAATGAATTGTGATGTATAACATAGTTACTTTTCTAATCTTTTTAAAATTACCTATTTGACTGATTTCTTATGTGTAAAAAGAGGCATAAGGCCTTCCCTTCTGTCAAAGTACTATTGTCTTGAGAAATTTAGAAGCTCCCTGTTTTGATGCATTGAGACTACAAGCACATAGACAGATTTAAGGCACCTTTAAGTATGTGCAAGAGTCACAAGAATGTGTTTCTTAATACCACTGTAACTAGAGAAGTATTTATGGGAGAAGTATTTATAGGGGAAGTCCAGCTAAAATCCAAAGCTCTGAATCAATGACTACCCCATAAGAAATGCAATCAGAAGTCTGCTTTGCACTTACAGACGATGGTTTGTGCTGCAAGGAAGGGCACAGGATTTGCACCACAGATCTGTGCCGTCTGTGGGGTTCAGCTCACCCGCACGAAAGCAGAACAAGGTCAATGTCATAGATTAGGGATTGGGAATCTCTCTACCCTACTGCACAGCTGCAGAAGAGACTGCTGATAAATCAACCTCCTGCATCATATCAGGCTGTTGCTTGTATCATCCCAACCTTGTTCAGCAATGCATCCCAGATTTGAACATGCAGTCATTGCTGTGATATATATAGGCTCAATAATTTTACGTTCATTCACCTACTCTGTATATAATGTTCTTATAGTAATAAGTGTAAGAACTATCTTAGAAAGGAGAAATTCTTTAAAGTCTATTGAAGTCTCCTCCAGTGTCAGCCTAAGCAGAGATTATAAATATATATATATACGCACCCAGATTTCACTGGTTTCTTAAATGGAGTAGATGTACTATTATGACATAATGCTCCCAGCAAAAGCATAGCATTACTGCCTGATACAGAGAATGAGCTTCTTTCCTTAACTCCTTCTGTCCAGATCTTCCACTTAACTATTTTTTCTTTTCATACTGTAAGAATGTTTAATTTTCAGTACTTAATGGCAAAACATATCTCAATAGGGAATACGCTTTATGCTACCTTAGGCCAGCAGCTATTGGTGACTAACATGGATGTTGTGATTAATATGGCATCTAAGTTCAAGTGAATGACGAGAAATTCGGATCGTCTTCTAAACTAGACTACCAGACCTATTTCCTTCAGACAAGGGAAAAATGTGTTTGTACCAATTATTTCATTGGCCATTAATGGTATTCCTAGAAGACACCTCATTTAAGTGTGCCTTCTCCTACTTCTTCCAGTTCAGCTCTCATACAGTCATAAGCAAGACTACCAAATCAGTGTAGTTTCTTGTAATAGATTTTTCCCATGTTTTAATGACTATAACAAGCAGAGAGTTCAGAAAGATATTGATTTTATTTCAAAAAAAAAGTCTGAAAGAACAGAGGGACTGCTAAATTGGGTCCGAGATCTATGTAGCCCAATATCCTGGTCTTCACAGCAGGGAGCAGCAGGCAGTTTAAGAAAAATACCAAAAGACAGATCATAGAGTGCACTCCTAGTGCACTCTTTAAATTGCCTCTAGACCACCATGGTTAGCCACCACTAAGCGCTGCACAACTAAAAATGTATCTCATTTCTCTCCTAATCTTTTTATACCCTCAGCCTCCACAGCATCCTGTGACAGTGTGTTCCACACCCAAAACTGTATATTTTGCAGTGAATAAATGTTGGTTTTGAAAGCTGCTGCTTGCTAACATCACTGGGACAAGTTTGCACATGCTCACAGGGGACAGCCATCAGCATCAGGAGGAAAGATCAGGTCCTTTGGCTTTTAAACCAACCTGTAAATTTGGAACCAGCTGGGCAGCTTCATCCCTGTAAGAAGAACAGCAATGCTGAGTTGGTGTCCTGCAGTGAGGGGGAGGAAGCAGACACCCACCCTTTAATTTCTAACATGGTTTTGATTTAGAAGCAGATAGGAGATGGGAGCCTACGGGAATTCTGTCAGTAATGCTAAATTAAGCCTTCTTGGGGCGGATCGAGAAATGTCGAGGACTGCCCAGACTTGCAAAAGCTGCCTTGTTTGGGTTTTAGCTGAGACTTTCCATACTGGGTCATTTCCTCCCCTACACAGTTATTGACAGGAGTGAAGCGAGTAGAGGAGGTACCTGGCAGCAGCTACAGACCATGGTTTTCAAGTTCAATCAGCGGGTGTTTGGCAGTTTAGTGGCCTATTTTATGTGCTTCAAATGTGTCTGGTTTTCAGAAGAAGCTGAGTTCTCATTCTGAATGTTATCTATGCATTTCCTCTGACAGCCAAGAATTAGTGTTTATTTTAAAAAGCAAACTAAGTGTAAACAACAAAACTAGCTTTTTTCCTGAGAGAAAACACTCAATATGGAAAAAGCTCCAGTAAAAGACTGCAACAATCATGTGCCAGGAGAAATAGCACTTCACAGGGAAGCACATTTTTTATCAATATAATAATTTTCCCTAGAAGAAGCATTCCCATATTGATCTGAATATTTATCTGTTCTGTGCTCTTGTCTGACAAATACTTGTGTGAGCAAATCTCACCCTGTAAATGGTCAGCCTGCTGTTTGGGGTGGAGGACTCATTATTTGTATAATGTGATAGACTGCCTAAATAAGACAGTCTCCAGAATGGATGACTCACACCAACTCACAAACCCATAAGGAGGCCTATAGAAAATCCTATGTAAATCTATACAATAAGCAACTGAATAAGTGCTCATGGTTTGTATATGAAGTGTTTGCATAACCATTATTTTCCAAATAATTCATATTATTTGCAACTTAACAAACACATTAAGCACTAAATGAGCCACATTTCTTCACATCAGATAAAAAATCTGTGCATTTATGCTTTAAATACCTATGGAGCTGTGGCCACATAGGTCAATAGAGGAGGATGGGAATTCTTTACCTCTTCTTCCCTGTCATTATTTTACCTGTAATAAAATTCAACCAAGCCCCAGCCTTGAGTTATCCCGTTCAGTCGGAAATCTGCAATGCATTCATGGAAAACGCCACTTCCAGTCAGGCCATTATACACCATGGGGCAAGCCTGCTCGTCCAGCGTTGCAGAAACATCAAAGTACTTGCCACCTTTGACAAAAGAAAATAAGGGGAGAATGTCTCCAGCCCTCAGTAGTATTTAATCTCAAAAAATCCCAAGATCTATTATTTTTGCATACAGTTTCTTCTTATGCTTTTCTAAAGAGCAATAGTTTTCCTGTCTGCTTTGTAAATGAAGTAAAATCTTGGATCAACCCATATTTCCAAAGCAGCTGAATCCACCTCATAACAAAGGTTTTGACACCCAAAAAAGTGAAAATCACATTATTTATCTTGATTAGCAAAAGCCTCCACAAATGGAAACTGTAACCCTCCCTGGTACAGCTACCATGGCCCTGTTCCTGCAGTGGACACACACTATTTCACTGATGACACACTACACATAGGACTTCTGCACAGAAGTAGATTTCTCAGGGTGTAAAATGATGCATTTATTCCAAGGATCACATGGAATTTCACTGAATAGTCTTTCCTCCACTGAATTAACTGCAGCCAAAAAGCTGCAGGAAAATACAGTTGGCCTGCATTTGGCTTACCAGCCACAAGACTGACTCCATATTCATCCTTGATAACACCATCATCAGCCATCTCAGCCAGTGAGGCATTAGACCACTCAATGCCAGCCTTCTTTCCATCAGGGAAAAAGACATAACCTACAGCAAGGCTGAAAGGGAAAGAAATGGAGCAGATTGAAAGTTCACCCAAACTCATATGGACCAACACATTTGCCTTCCAGGGGAGCTCAACGCTGAGCATTGCCTTCATCCTTGGAAAACAGCAGCAATAAATAAACAAGGTTATATTGTGGAATATTGCAAGTGCTGAATGGAGGAAGCCATGCATGCAGGAAAGATGAGGCTTGCAGGGTGGATTGTGGTGGGCAGGCAGGACACGTAAGTTACTTGTTCCCACTTGGTCCCAGGACCATGAGCACTGATCTTCAAGGTTCTGGATGCACAGAGCACCAGTCAGCAAGGCAGGGCTCCTGAGTAATGCCTTACAGATGGACACACTGTCTTAAATAGCTGGAATTGCTGAATTTGTATCTCCAAATCTAGGCAGTAAGACAAGCAGCTGCATCAGTCAAACAGTAATTGAACGGAAAAGAAGTAATTGAAGGTAAAAGCTGTCCTTGTGACTAATTGCACATGGAAAATTGGGCAGAGGGAGTGAGGAACAAGAGGGTGTGGATGGAAATCTGGATGTGCAGGTTCAAAGCAAGAATGTGCATAAAGGCATCCTGCAGAATGATTTCTGCCACCTTTAAGATGCATATTTTTAGCAGCGTAAGCTTCCTTGGTTACTTACTTAGTTGTGGTAGCTGGCAGATTAATAACTGTTAAATGTGCTGCAGTCCCATCCTGTAAGACAGCAATAAAGAAAAAGAGTCTAATTTGGACTTATTGCTGTGGGTCTTAAACTGACTTGACCAAGAAGACACTAGATATAACTCAGGTGATGCAGTGGGCTCTGACTTTATACTTTTAAATCTTCTCAATACACCTTCCATGAAAATTTTGCTGAAAATGAGAGTCCAAGAATATAAACCAAACACCTTAAAGACAAATTAAGGACATCAAGAACAACAGAAGGTCTACAGCAAATAGATTTAAGAGAAGGAAGGAAAAAATAACACGTGAAGATGTCATCTAGCCGTGTTCAAAACCAATGGGCAGCCTATCAAAGCTGGCCCTGCTTTGGCCAGACATCTCTTCTAGCCTTTATTATTCTATGTCTGAGAGCAGTATACAGGAAAAATGTTTAAAAAGAAGGAACTGGAATCTCATGGGTTTATTAATTTTTCTTTCACCCTTGAGTCTGAATCTCTTCATGCTCCACTTGTGCTGTTCTGAGGCAAGTATAAGCCTACATTGTGCTGTAATATATGTACAGTATGAGGACTCCAAACTTCAATCACCCATATGCTTTAATTCCATCTTAAAAACCACTCAGATGGCTTCTAAGTAAAAGCCACAGAGCCACAGTAATTCTGAGTTCTGAATAACTAAGAAGAAAGGGAGAGGTTAGTACCTGATTATACACATCCCAGTGCAAAAGCACAGTATTATCAAAAGGCACAAATGCATGTGTGAAATCACAGCAGCCACTGGATCTGCAGAGATGTGGCATTTTCCATGGTGTGTTTTTGTGCTAGCCAGCATATATGTGAGAAAAGAACTTTTATGCTGAACTCAGTCTTAACTCCTGTAATGTTGCTTATGAGAGAGTTTAGATCTGTTTACACCTGTGTTGGCAAAGGAAATGCCTTTTCAGGAGCATCTGTTGGGTTTGCATGCCAGCTTGTAAGGCCAGAATTCAGCATTTCCCCAGGCTGTGCATTCCCAGCAGCCACAGCGCTGACTCTCCTCTCTCCTCCAGCACAGCCACCATTGCAAAGCAGAGAATTAGAGCTCAGCACAGGCAGAAATACTCGATGACTGCTGTCATGAAGGCTTAGGATGACTTCAAACACCTCAGGCTCTCAATTAGTGTGAATCAGCACTGCATGAACTCCACTGAGTGCTCGGTATTTGCGGCAGCTGAGAATCTGTCCTGTGAAGCTGCCTATCTAATTTTTCTTCAAAAAGCCAAAACAAACAATTTCAAGTTATTGAAACAATCGTTGGTTCAACCAGTGTAGCAGAATCTCAGTTTTTAACACACACAGCACTGGTTAGCACTTCTGATTGCACACCACGGATGCTGCCAATGCCTAATTTCTAGATACTTAAATGTGACTGACAAGTTCAGAAACACCTCTAATTTCATGGTTAAGTAGCACATTGCCATGTTTATACCTACTTCAAAGTGTGCCAAAATCATGACGTAACGGTAAATCTCAGACCAGTTCCGGATACCTGCGAAAAAGAACAAAACCACCCAACCTGGAATTCACCATTACTGGAAAATGTGAACTAATCATACCTGGTTTGAAACTAATGTGGATAAAGAAATATCCCGTAATCGACAACAGGTAATTGATAACATGGTAAGCATATGCATGTCCCCAAAACAGTAATGGCATTTCCTCTGAAATGTCTTAACTTCATGACCAGTCACAAAATTGGTTATTTTTAAAGATCAGCTGTAGTCCCACTGTCCTGACAGTACCAGCTATTGTGAAGGAAGCCAACTGTTACCATAGGAGTGGCTCCGAACCCCTTTGAGAAGAAGTTTGGTTTTCTCATGGTTTTCTATTTCAATTTCTCCAACAGACTGGCCCCACTCCTCATGTCGGAAATGTTGTTCCCTTTGCCTGGAAGAAAGAAAAGTGTGAATCAACACAGGCAAAATCAATAAGTCTCCTAATCAATGAGCCTCAGTGCCAATCTGCTGGACTTATACCCTAAAACGAAGAAGAGATTTCAGAGCATCTGGATCCTGCCTGTGCCAGATTTCACACATGAGCAATCTACATGATGTCTATCAGACATCTGAGAATGAAACAACATCCAACTACCACCCTGAAAGACTACAAAAATGCCCTTTCTTTGAAAAAATGCTGTACTACCAAACAGTTGCTGCTTAGAAGTCAGCACATATCACCAAAGACAATGCACTATTGGTATACATATTTTCTGCTTGTATTTAGACAACACGCTTTCAATACTCATGTTTTCTTCTCATATTTTCAGCCCTCTGAAGCTTATATTGTAATTAAAACACTCAGTTTAGGTATCCTCCTCATGATTATATTTAATCCTTCTCTTAGATATACCTCGACTGATGACTTGCAAAACAGCCCAAATTAGGTTGTTAGCAACGAAAAAAGACAGAGTAAGAAATATCCCAAATGCTTAAGGTTTTACAGACCAAAACTATGGGCAGATCCCTCCACCCCCATATTAGGAAGACCATATCTGTGTGCAGGATGCTCCTTTGAGGTTGCCAGGTCTGGTGTGATAACGAAACCAGGAGACACCTGACAGGAGGCATGTCCTTTATTAGCTCACTTCAGATTAAACCTACCTTCGAAAACCACCTATAACAACATATGACAGACCCTTAAAAGATCTGTAGAAAAATTACTATCAAACCAAGAAGAAATTAATCTTGCCTCGCACCTTTTGACCCTCTGGAAGAACTCTATGGTCCATGGTTCCTGAGCAAAAGCATGTGCAAACGTGCTGGGGTGACTGTCAACATTGAAGTTAAAGACTTCTGTGAAGTTCTCCCAACTAGGAAAAGGAGCAAGGAGAAAATAAAAGACATTATTAGCATACAGGTCACACTGGGTGAAGTTTGCACTTCCTACTCTGACAATGGCAATCTTGCATTTTATGTTTATTGTAAAATTCTGGGTTTCATAGTTTTAAATATGTTACTACTTTTCAAGGAAGCAAATGGAAGGAAATTGAGAAGAGCAAAAATGGGTCTGCAAGAGACAACAGGTTACCTAGAAAGGGAAGCTGGCAGGGCAGAGCTGCATGCCAAAGCATGCTGCTTTCCCTCATGTATCTGTTCAGAGGTACAAATGAGTCCAGAAATGCTGTGTTAATTTGACAGCAAATAATTTTTTATCAGACAAATAGAGTCCATAAGCAGAAAGAGAAAGCAGAGGCAAGGGCTTCATGTGTTACTTTCTGCACATGACCCTTTGAAAATCATAACCAAATCCCTATCCAGGAAATCAGTACACATCCCAGTGCAAACGTGAAAGACTCTTACTGGAAAGAGAATTTAACTGGTACAAGTTTGCCGTCCTCTTCACTCCACTGCTGTCGGTAGGGTCCTTTTCTGTAATGCAAAGCACTATAATTTTGTATCACTCCTAAACAAACAGTAAAATATTTCTTAAATGTTTGGAAATGGATGCAATAGTAGACACTGCAGAAGAATTATGCTGTTGTGTGCTAAGGTAGGATAGCAATGCTATATATTACTCACTGTGTTTTAATTCCACAAAAATAAATGCATACTACTGTTATCAAATAGCTTTTGGTTCAAGTCAGTTAATTATATTTCCAGTGTTCAAAAAGCATTGGTCATAAGCGTACATAAATGAAACCATAGATTGCTGCAGTACCTGAGTAATCCATCAAAGCTTATTTTCCAGATTGTTTGGGGCTCCAAGTATTCAATAGTGAGCCCTCCTCCACTCCAAATCTCCTCAGATTCATCATTCACCATCATGTTTGGATGTTGTGGGTGCTAAAATGACATTTCAGGAAAACATTTGCTTAATTGTGAGGATGCAACATGGATGAATTCCTGCTTTGACAGTCCTCTGCAGGAGGAACATTTGGTTGAACTGGCTTTTCAGTTCTACCTGCTCTCTGGTAATGAGATTATCAGAGAGGAAAAACTGCATCTAAAACACCGAAGATAACATATTGTTTCAGATAACACAACCAAATTACTAGTGTGAAGGGAGGTCATTGCAAGAGCTCAGCTCTTTACACTAGTGACTGTCAAGCTCACAGCCAAGCTGATGCAGGGCTTTGGGGGTAAGCTTAGACTAAATTTGATGAAAGTCTAAAATGATGTAAATTTCCAGTGCGTGCAAGCTCCCTCCCAAAACTCTTCAGCTGCTCTTTGAAAAATACGTCTTGTTTCCTAAAGCTGCCACCTTTCTAAAAGACACTTTATGCCTGTTGCTGTAGGGAAGGATCTAAGAAGGTCCCAAAATCAGCTGGCAGTTCTGAGTAACAAAGCCACAAAGTGGTATCATTATCCTAAATATTACTAGAAAACAAAATAATTCACAAAATCATCATTTTTTTTATGATCTGCAAGTAGGATGTCTCCTGCTTTTTCTTGGTGACACACATTCGTGAACATTAAGACAGTTGAGCACAAAAGGATTTATGCCAGATCTTCCCTCCTTCTTTATTATGTACACAGCTATTAACAAAACAGAAAACACAGAGGCGAAATGATTGTACATACATCAAATATGTATATATAACATATATTCATACCATATATGATTAATACTGTTTTCTTTTTAGCAAGAATGAAGCAGATGTACATATAAAGCTTTCCCTAGAAGTCCCTAAAAAGCTTTCCTTTCTCTTTTAAAGAGGCAATTCCACAATGTTTTTATACCATTGACTTGTTAAAAAAGGAGAAAAAATCAACCATAACCATAGAACGTAACTTAATGATGCACTTGCATGTTATCAGAAAGACTGAATGCTCAAACTCTTCCTGTGAGACATCACAAGACATTTTATAGAAAATATGCTATATTTTGTGTGCATTATAGGAAAAATTGAATAAGAGTCAGACACCTACTCCAAAAATCAGACACAGCAGGTAATCTGGCCAGTTCTACTGCTGTCTTTAGGCACAGCACTGATGTCATACTGTTAGGATGTTAATGTAGTGAAGGTGCAGAGAATATTTATTTTTGTTTGGGATCCTCACATGGATTCAAGGTAGGAGTTAAGCACTGTTCTTGAATGTCATCCCACATCCACCACTTACTTCAAACTCTCCTATTCCATCCACCCTCAGGAAGAGCCACATCTCACAGACCCCATTGGGACGTTTTGCAAGACGAGCAATCACAAAAGTCTTGTTGGTCTCTGCAAAGCCAGTGAAGTAAACTGAATCGAATGCCTAGGGAAAGGGAAAGGGATAATGGATTTTCAGCTCCAGCTGGAGGCTGGAAAGGGTGGGGAGAAGACGAGTAATTCCTTTTTTTCCATACATTTGTTCTCAGGAATCAAAGTTTGCTTTCACTTTCTGTATCTGATAGCAGGCACCCCAGCGAACAGCCAGGGAGTCCTGCTAGCAGCAGTGTAGCCTCATCTGTTAGGCCATGTCCTCAGGAAATAACTGAGATTCACAACATTTAGTCAATCTGGTGCACAATAATCACAACGTTCACTGACACAAAAGCATTTTTCCTTTCTTGCTTGCCCACTGCCTCAACAGAGCAGACACAGACAGCAGAAAGGGAGCAGATGAGAACCAGTTTTAGAGAAGGAATGCAGTTACTGCATGACAGCTTCAGATAAGGTGAAGTATAATAATCTGAATTAAGATGCTTATTTTGCAATGATTTCCTTTGATCAAAATCCTTATGAAATGTGTCCTCAAATAGTGAGGAGGAAACTGAGCCACAAACACACTGTTTTCCCATCTAGCTCCAAACTGTATGGAGAATAATTTATATGTAGGGA